AAATATTTTAATGAAAGCCCTGACTTATGTGGAATATTTATTATGAATTACATGCTCTTGGTAATTTAGTTGCTTTCACTGAATTAAAAATTGTAATTCCGTTTAATTTATTTAACAAAATATGTTATGAATTTCTGTTAAAACTTTGATTGTAAGTTACATACTAAAATGAAAATCGAAAATGACTGAAAAACATTTAAAGAAGCTATATTTTAAATGGTTTATTTTACATTGATTAAGATTTTGATGATATATATATATAATTATGACAATCATTGGCTTTTTGGCTTTTGTATACCTACAAAAAAACCTAAAATATGTTTATTATGGATTTTAAATTTTTTGGGTAAATCAAAGTTTTTAAAATATCATTACTAAGCCAAAAATGCATTAATTTTGATTCAGATAGCTGTTCAGTACTAGTTTTTAAAGAGCTAACAATTCTGCATTTTAAGTTTAAGAATTTGTAAAATTTAAATTTTTTGACAAATTTTGGACCATTTTTTACGAAGTGACCACTTATAAAATTTTCAAATTTTTGGAAAAAAAAATAAATGTTTGCGGGACAAAGCTAGATCGACTCAGTTTTTCATGCTGATCAAGAATATATATGGTTTATAGGGTCGCTAATGATTCCTTCACGTCCTAGAAAGCTTTTGGCTAAAATTATAATACTCTTTAAGAATGTAACAACAAAAGGTGACATTTTGGATACATTTTGCTAAAAACATTATTTAAAGCTTAAGCTCTTAAGCTCATTGACTACTTATATGCGAACACTAAGGAACTGTTGTTCCTTTCAAGCTGCCATCGCCTGTATATAAAGTCATGTTGTTGTCCAAAGGACATTTTAGCAACCAAGCTATAGCTCTTTTTTTCCTACTTTTTTTTGTGTGTGTTAAAAGCCCCAACCGTTTGTTTGCTTTGTGTTGGCCATGTTTGCTGTTTTTAGCGACTAGTGCAACGCGGCTGCCTAAGCCAATATTTGAGCAAGTTAATAGCCAAGAGCGATGGCGATGGCAATGCAATGCCCGGGCAACTACTCATCAGCAGCCATAGTGCATAGCAGCTCCTAGCTGAGTCTGAGTCTGGCTTTCGTGGCGCCTTTGGCGAGCCCAGAAGACTTTGAAGGGGGTCGAGGATGGAAAAAGGACTGCCCGGAGGCTGGGGTGTTGCCACCCCCCACATTTATGGCTCTTCTCACGCCAATGCGCAATACACTTCCACTTTATGCACATTTCCGGACTCGCGTGACAAAAAAGCAGGGAAAAGGAGACTACGAAAAGGAAAAGGACGAGCCTGAAGGTAGAGATACAGGTTTTCGACTATGAAAATACCCTAAATTGATGTCTTAGATTTTTGTTGAATATATAAGCAAGAAAATGTAAGCCTTTTAAAATGTATTTAAAAAATTGAGACTTTTATATTATTTTTATTAAATTTGGCTTCATTTTCCTTTAAAAATTCATATACTCTTCGTGCCATTTTTCGACTATAGGGTACTCAAAGGGAAAACTATGGCGCAGAATGCCAGTTCCACTCTGATGTTGCCGCTTTCGCGTCTGACATGTGTAACTAGGGGCGTGTAACGCGGGGCGGACACGGAAATGCCATTGCATTTGGCCAACAAACCAACAACAAAAGGGGCCGCAAATAGGGGGCGGCATTCTCAGAACCAGACGATGATGCATCGGATCGTTTCCATTTGAAGTGGCATCAAAGCCGTCATCATTCTCACTTTTGTTGCAGCTAGCTGTTGCTGTTGCTGCTGCTGTTGTTGCTGTTGCTGTCGCTGCTGTTTGTGCTGTTGTTGCTGTTTGTGCTGCTGTTGCTGTTGCTGCATTTGCTGCTGTTGTTGTTGCTGCTGCTGCTGCTGTGGTTGCTGTTGCTGTTGTTGCTGTTGCTGCTGTGTTGCTGTTGCTGTTGCTGTTGCTACTGCTGCTGTTGCTGTTGATGTTGTTGCTGCTGTTGCTGCTGTTGCTGCTGCTGTTGCTGTTGCTGTTGCTGTTGCTGTTGCTGTTGCTGTTGCTGCTGCTGCTGCTGCTGCTGCTGCTGCTGTTGCTGTTGCTGTTGCTGTTGCTGTTGCTGTTGGTGTTGCTGCTGCTGCTGTTGCTGTTGCTGCTGTTTGTGCTGCTGCCATTGTTAGAGCATCGCGTACTATTTCTACTGGTGTCGCAGGACTAAACCTTTTTACCTTATTGACTGCAGCCGCAGCACAGTTTTTTGTTTTTGCCACATTTTCATGCCATTAGCGTGGCATGGTGTGAAAATCGATTGATAGCATCTGCGGTCGGTTGCGGATTATGTTAAATTTTTAATTACTGGCTTGATTCTGGCAGTGGTTGAGGTCAATTAAGGGGAGGATTTAAATAAAACAATCAATCGATATTTCCGGGAATCAATTGGTGTTGAAAGCCCAACTAAAAGCTTTATAAATTCGCAGAAAAAATTTAATACGCTGAACTTTATTACAGACTTAAAGTACTTTTTAATGGTTTAATGGTTATTATTTTTAATAATATAATATATAATAATTTTTGGTAATTTATCCACATCATTTCACTGTGCTTTTGCCCCATTACATTGCCATAAAATGGCGATGTGTCTCTGCGAAGGGCATTTAGTCTGCGTAACTGAGGTAATGGGCAAAGGGACGATGGCAGCAGCGGCAGGATGGCAGCTTAATGCTGACACATCTGGACGGAAACTGGATCGTTTCGCCAAACCAGTTTATTGGGTTAAGTGCGACAAGAGTGTTTGTGCCAACCGGAATTTGATTTTTCACTTATGCCCTACTCGACGAGCGATTTTGGTGCGTTTTCGTTGCGATTCGTGCGCGGCTTGCAAAACGCTCTTAAGTGGAAAATGGAAAATGTCGCTGCATACTTTTGGGGCCGCCTTATCTGGGCCGGGAAAATGTCTTGATCTGGGTTACACTACTAATCCCCTTTTTGGTAAGCCTTTTGTTTGTCCCTGCTCGAATTTTGCTGGCTTCGCTTTTATGCTTTATTTGTCCTTTTGGCTTATCTGCGGCACCGTGTCCATGGCCATTTTCCGGCTAATGATCAAAGTGCCTGGCCCAATGTCCCAATGGGATTCGTTACTTTCCCGTTGATTTTCCCTCTCACCATTTTGTTCATTTCCTTTTTTCCCTCGCTTCTCCATAACAATGTAATCGAGTGTAGACACTGCGATAAACTTGAATTGCCATTTCTGAGAAGAAGAAAAAAAATTGCTCTTTTGGCAAATGGTCCAACGCGGCGTATACTTGATTTTTTTTGTTTTTTTTGGCGCCATGGAGTGCAAATGCTGAATTATAGTTTTGTGTGTGGCAGCAGGATAATTAAAGTATGGCTGGTAGTTTATATCCTTTGCTGGCTGCACATTAAGTCCGGAAAAAGAATGCCTTTCAATTATGCCATGTCCCTGCCCCGCGTGCTTGCAACTACAACGCTCGGGCGCACCTGTGCACGCGCCTCAATGCGCACGGCTGCGCTTTTGGCAATCATCGTGGCCTACACCACCCACCCCCACCGCCCTCCTAACTGACTTTTAGCCGCCATCCCCTCTGCGAATTGGCCACCTGCCATTTTTGGGTATTAAAATTTCCCATGGATCATTTGCAATTTTCACAGTTTTTCAGTTCAGAAAACTCTTTTGCTCTTGCTATTGGTGCATTTCTTTCCATACTTGAATATGTATGCGGATGGAATGGAATGCGTTGCCATCAAATGAAAATCAATTTAAAATAACTATATGCCCCCCTAAAAAAATAGAGTGCACAAAAATCGGAGTACAGAATAATTGCGTATACGCCGTGTTGGGTTTATTGTTCGATTCGAAATGGAAGCAAAGAACTAAATTAAGTGTGAAATGGCATAAAAAATGAATGCGAAATTGTAAAAAACATAGCTTAACTTTATAGTGAAATACGGAAATCTGCTATGAAATATTCAGGGTCATAAATCATACAAAATTAATCAAGAGTGCTGGCTACCTTTTATTTATAAAATTCAATGTAAAAGAAATATGCAAACTTTTCCACCTATGAATATAAAACAAATGCCAGAATGAACTTTGGCATTTTTTGGGAAATGCCATAGATGCAATTTGCTGCCATCGTAAAAATTGAAATACAAATTTTAAATAAATTGCATACAAATGCGCTTATTCAATTTCGTAAACAACAAAGTGGAAAATAAGAGAAAAACTTTTTTGCACTAACCGCAAAGCACTTGACACGCTCAGCTGCTGTCCAATCTAATGGACATCTCTTCGTCCATTTGCCTTTTATTCATCTTTTTTTTTTTGCTATGATGTAGGATGAAAGACGACCTGCTGGGAGTGTGTCCTGGCGTGTTCCTGAATCCCCCTGGTATGCAGTATGCAGATACATCCACTCCACACACACTTGCGCACTCTTGGCCAAAAACAAAACTGTGCAAAATACCAATATATGCAAATAAATTTAAGCTTATTTCTTGTAGATGGACGACCGGGTCAAGTCCTTGTTGTTGCTTTGCTCACTTTGCTCGTTTTTGCTTTTGGCTCCATGCAAAAGCCATCAATGTTTCGGCCAGTGTAAGCTTGTAGAGAGGGAGTATCTCCGAGTGTTTGTTTGCCTTATCGTCGTGCTTGTGGATAAGCAAAATAATGGCATTCAGTTCAGAGGGTGCCATAAACAAAGCCAAGAATCTATCGGCAAACAATGGGTTTTGCACATAAAAAGCACTAAATAAGGGAAAAGGGAAAACATGGAAACGAATGACTGGAGAAAAACATTCGCAATTTGCCAAGAACATGGTGTGCAATTATTTATGAACAGGAAGAGAGATGATTAGCTTATCTGGTTTTACATTTTCCTGAATCAATTTAATTTAAATGTATAAAGAAAGAGATTTTTTACCAGATTTCATTTCAAGGAAATAGATTTCCTCTTCATAGCCCATAAATCTCAAAAGTTAAAAAAAAACATATAAGCTTTATTTAAAAACTACACATTCTTCGCAAAACTTTATTTCAAATTAAACTTAAACTGTATTAACCGAATGGAAAGAAACAGAGACTGATCGCAGACAAATACAATATCCAAAGGATCTATATGTGCGTATATATAGAGATGTAGATTATAGAGGTTATCGCCGGTATTTAGATCACCTAAACATGACAAACCTTATGGACTTCCCTCTTGGAGGGTATAATGCCTCCCTTCTTAGGAGTTCTTCTGTGGCACCTTCACAATAACACTCTTGACCTCCGTGTAGTTGGACAAGGCATATTCGCCATTCTCACGTCCATGGCCAGACATCTTGTAGCCACCGAAGGGAGCCTGAGCGGCCAGGGCATTGTAGGTATTCACCCAAACGGTGCCAGCACGCAGACCACCCACAATATAGTTGGCCTTGTCCAGATCCTTGGTAAAGACAGCGGCAGCCAGACCATAGTCCGAGTTATTGGCTCGCTCAATCACCTCATCGAGTTTCTTGAAGCGAATCAGCTGCTGAACGGGGCCAAAGATCTCCTCACGGGCAATGGTCATGTTGTCCTGGACATCAGCAAAGACGGTGGGCTGAACAAAGTAACCGGGCAGACCTTCCGGGCGACTGCCACCGGCTACCAGCTTGGCACCCTGCTTCTTGCCAGTTTGAATCAATCCTAGGATCTTCTCCATCTGCTCCTCATTGACCTGGGGACCCTGCTCAGTGTTCAGATCGAAGGGATTGCCCACGGTGCGTTTCTTGGCACGCTCCGCACTGCGCTCCACAAACTCATCGTAGATCTTGTCCTCCACAAAAGTACGAGATCCCGCACAGCAGCACTGTCCCATGTTGAAGAACAGGCCAAAGTGAGCTGTCTCCACAGCGTAGTCCAGATCGGAATCTGATAGGATAATGTTCGGCGACTTGCCACCCAACTCCAGGGTGACTCTCTTCAGATTCGTGTTGCCCGAGGCGAGCTGGATGAGTTTTCCAACATCAGTGGATCCCGTGAAGGCCACCTTGTCCACATCACTGTGGTTAGCCAAGGCAGCACCAGCTGCTCCGAAACCAGGCACCACATTGACCACACCCTCCGGGAAGCCAGCCTCCTTCACCAACTGGGCAATGTACAGGGCCGTCAAACTGGTCTGCTCCGCAGGCTTTAGCACAATTGTGTTGCCAGTGGCCAGGGCGGGACCCAGTTTCCAGGCCATCATCAGGATGGGGAAGTTCCAGGGAATGATCTGACCACACACACCAACGGGTTCATGGCGGGTATAGGTGAAGAAATCTCCATCCATGGGAATAGTCTTGCCGTGATTCTTATCCGCCCAACCAGCAAAGTAGCGCAGATTCTTAATGGCCGTCGGAAGATCCACATTGTAGGACATGCTGTAGGGCTTGCCATTGTCCAGTGTCTCCAAGCTCTGTAATAGGAATTTATAATTAGTTAAATAGAAAACAATTTAAACACATTTATTAGTTGCTTTGCGTGTCAGCATGCCACACTTAGGAAATCATTAACTATTTCTGTTAATACTCACAGCCAGGTAGACCTGATCGCGCTCCATGAGATCAGCCAGGCGATAGATAAGACGACCCCGCTCCGAGGCATCCATACGGCGCCAGGGAGAGCCCAATCTGATTTTTAAAAATATAAATAAATTATAAACAAATATAAATATTTAAATGTATACTCACTTGAATGCACTGCGTGCAGCTTTCACGGCAATATCGATATCCTCCTTATCACCAGCTTGGATTTCGGCAATGGTCTGCTCTGTGGTTGGATTAATGGTGCCAAAAGTCTTGCCCGATTTGCTCTTGTGCCACTCATTGTTGATAAACAGCTGCAATAAAGTTAATGGTTAACAATAGCTTCATTTATGGCCATATCATTTTCATAATCTAACAATATGAATTTTGTTTCGATATTACAAAAGCGACAACAAAACCGCTCCCCGATTTGATAAGCCCTTGACTCTGAAGTTTGTTATTTATTATTAACTGTTTGTGCGTGTAATCGCAATCGTCTGATTGTTCAGTTTAGCATGTGTAAGCTGACAATCCCCTTTGCCGGCTAAGTGATTAGAATCTCAAGTTCTCTTAACACCTCACATCATCTCAAGTTGTCTTGTTTTTATTATTGTTTTTTTTATTTTTATTTTTATTCGTTTTTCATATATATTTTTTGTATACCTCCCAAGTATTTCACCATATAAAACTTTCCGCCAGACATCGCCAAACATAAATACACATAAAAATCGAAAGACACGTGCGAAACTTTTTCGGCTGTCTGATACGTGGCTAGACGATCGAGCTAGTTATGGAGGCCTGACTTTATAAAGTGTGCCATCTTATCTACATAGCTATGGGGCCACGGAATAAAGCTGGCTACTGGTGATAAGCAATGGAAACTACCTATGGCAGCAAATACAAATATATACATAAATATAAGGTTGATGTAGGAAATCTTGGGAATATAGTTTCCACTAAGAAACTAATGTTTATATTGGAAATCTATCTATTTAAAAAATATATATTAAATCACGAGAGGTTCCTTAAGATAAATTTCTATACATATATTTTCTGGAAAAGCAAAAACATTTACCATATGTTTAAATACTTATTCGTAATTATTTAAAAAAACTTTAAAAATGTTAGATTTAAAAAAAAAAATTCAATTAAATATTATGATATAATTTTAGTAAGATGCTTAAAATCCAGTGAAGGAGTCATTTCCGACCCTATAAAGTATATATATTCTTGATCAGCATCAACAGCCGAGTTCATCTAGACATGTTTTAAAGAAATTAATTTTTTCAAATATTTCCAAATTTTATACATCATTAAAATTGTCAAAATTTTAAACAAAAATAAATTTTTTAAAAAATTTTAAAACCTAGTATACCGATTTTTTAGCCTCATATAAACTAACACAGAAAAACTTTGATTTTCATAATAATAGGGTAATAGAAACTTCTCTTATCATAAATATGTATAAATTTCATTTAAAACAAAATACATTTAGTAAATATATCGCTAACGTTAAATTTGAAAATAAGGTTGGTTCCCAAATAACATTCACTGTTCCCAAATTTATTCCCATTAAGTAGAAAATTCCTTTAGCTTATTTCGCTTATAACCAAATGCTAAAATATTTCCTCAAATCCCCAGATAAATCTGAACACAAAAACCATTTTACTAACCAAAAGCCGCCCCTCATCCTTCCCCCTCCGCAATTAAATGCGACGAACGGTGGTTCTAATTGTCACACTAATGGAAAAAAATAAAGCTTGTAGAATTGTAGGAATTTATGCAAATTTCCCCAGCGGCAATGGAAAACCGCAGAAAATAAGAGAAAGACACAGAGAGAGTATCGAAAGAGAATTCTCTACCAAACCAAATTTGTTTTTGTGAAAGCTTCAAGTGACATAACAAAGAAAGAAGAACCAAAAGGCAAAGCAAAAAATCAGAAGCTAAAAAATAACAACAATAAAAGCCGGCATCTGAATTCGCTTGCATTCGTTGGTATTTTTGCTTTCGATTTCGCCTTTTGTCTATTTTTCTAGCCGCCGGTTGGTCTTTCCATTTCGCTCCGACAGGCTAATCCCCTACAGCTGGCGATAAACATTCGGTGTACGTGATTGGAATATTGCGAGGGCCTGACCCCGGCCTGCCAATTTATTTGGCAAGCAGTGGCAAAGGGGGTAGGGGATGAGGAAACTGGAAACCCTAAAAACTTGATTTCGCATATGTAGGGCATTAGGGAAGGGGAATGGGGAGGGATCACGCGATAACAGCTGCATTTGCTGCCGGCCCCCCAAGGTCAACTCAAAAACATGTTTAATTTGTGTTTCTCTTTTTGTTGATTTCTTTTTTGGGACTATTTTTTTGATAATTGCGATAACTTAGTTATAATTGTTTGCCATAATTTTATGGATTTGGACACTCACCCCGGTGTAGAGGACTTCGGGCGTGGTTTGGGGCTGCGGCAGGGCGGAGTAATTGGCCACGGCAGCGGCAATGTTCTTGGTCTGCGTACGCAGCAAAGCACCGGTCTTCAAAACGCGCAGCATTTTGATCTATATTCTGTTCTTATTGGGTTCTAAATTTCCGGATAAGAGAGAGACGAACTAGAAACTAGAACTGCGTGTTAATTGCTCAGCGGTCGTCGGGCAACTCAGCAGATGCCGAGGCGTTGCCGCTCGCGAAAGCTACGGAGGAACTTTTTCAGAAGCAATCGAGCGAATTCAACGATACGTCAACAGTGCTGACACATTTTGCAGTGATAGCTATAAATAATTGTTAGAAAACTTATAAACTTCTTCTCTTACTCTTACTTTCTTAATAAAATTAAATTAAAACTAAAATAACGAAATTAATTATAATATAAATATATAATAAAACACTAAAACTGATTCAATGAATTTGTATTAAATATTTTAAAACATTTTTCATATACTTGTTATTAAACAGTATTATCTAGCGTATAAACTTAAAAGCTTATTTGCCAACACTTAGCACTTACGAGAGGGTCAAAGAGAGCTGAAAATACATATATGTACATATACATACATAAATACATAAATAAATACATACATATACATATGTACACACAACGCTATCGTGAAATCTCTTGAGTTTGAGAGAGAGAGAGAACGAGATAAAGAACAATAACAAATAGTTTGGAAAAAATACTTCATCCACAATAAATTACATTTGCATGTTGAATCTATTCTGTATGCAAAAGATAGATTATTATAATATTGTTCATCAAATTGCCAAGCTCTGAAGTGAGCTTTAGATAGAATTAGCTTGGCAAACCGGCAAGCGGTATAAATTATCATACGATTTTACTAGGAAGAGCAAACATTCTAGAATTTATGTTTATTTGCAAAAGAGATGACTTGCGATTTATTAGCAGAAAGAAAATCTTTCGAATTTCATGATAAGGGGAAATTGTATTTAAATACGGTGAAAAGCATCTAGAAATACTAGCTTATCAGCATTGAAGTGCAAGTCAGTCAATCAATAAAGCATTTCAGAATCTATAAAGTGATAAGTGAATATTGTAAACATTATTCTCTACATTTAACGTAGTAAACAAAACTTAAAGATTAAACAAGTAAACAAGGAATCTTTTACTTTTATGTAGTATTTATTTTTAGGTAAATAATAAACATTCTTATAGATATAATAGGAAATATTTCAGTCGAAGTTAATTCTTAGTATCTACCGCGTTTATAACTAAAGTATTTAAAATACAGACCTTTTTACCAATTAAAATAACATAGTTAAATACTAAACACATTCAGCATAATAATAAAAATGTTTACAATATTTCGTCTTTTTATTAATCATTACTTTAATGTTTATTTTCGCTCTGTTCCATCACTCAATCAAAATGTTTTTCGGCCTGACTCTTCAACATTTTTCATCTCGCGCCACTTACTCGAAATATAAATTATTTTTAGCATACTTCGCGGCTGTCGGCCATAACACAAGCCCGAAATTGATGGCGAAGAGAGGACGATATTGTTGTATTTTTGTACATAATTCATTAAATACGATTTAGTACAATTTGTCAAAATCTGTGGAAATTTATTTCACTCGTAAATTGAGAGCTCGACGCGGCTGTCTGGCAAATCACGCATACGCATCGTTGGCCCCAAACCCAAAAAAACCAATCACAGACGGAAAAAATAAATCCAATACAAAACCAAAAATGCCCAGAAAATGCATACAATGGGATGGGAGATTGGGTAAACATTTGTTCAAGTCCCGCTGATTTTCCCGGTCCAATTACCAACATCGAAATAAACTTTAATGGTCATGCCGCCGCGGACGGAGCCTGTTATTGATGACTCGGCGGCTGTTGTTGCCGCTGCGGTTGCTTTCACTGCCCGCTCTGCCTGCTGTCCTCGGCGGCATGAAATATTTAATAACCAGGAGCAAACAGTTTGGTGTTAAAAAATAAATTGCATATGGACAGCTGGGCTGCCCGCCACCGCTCGCCAGGACACATGCACTTAACTGTCACTGATTGCAGGCTCTCGTCCTGGAGTCTGCGTTTCGTGCGGGTTATAAATGCGAAAATGAAATTTACAACAATTTGTTGGAAATGACTTTCAATTGAATTTAATTACCACAGGTGGGGGGTGTTGGGGGAGTCACCTCGTCGTGCTCGTATAATTTTATGGATGATTACGTAAATTAAGTTTGGTTTTGTGTGTGTCCCATGGTGATACTCGTGTGGGTAGCCCACCTGTAATGCAGGTGGGGAAACTGATTACCTGTGTTATTATTTGATTGTTAAGGGAATTGAAAATTACGCTTTCAAAGGGACCAGAAGATGTGACTATTTCTGTAAGTGACTTGATTTTAATTACTCTCTCAATGGTGTATATATTAGCTATGGAGATTTGTTTATAACAAATTAATAATTAATATTAAAGTGTTTATAAGAATAAACTATAGAAAAGCAGAACCTCTAACTCCCAAATAAACATCCCTGAAAAATGTGTGCTCTTTCCCCCAAAACTATTAGCATATTCAAATCATGGAAAATTCCCTGCTAAATTCACTTTTGTTTGCCATGCAAATATTAACAATCGACAGAGTAGAATAAATGGAAAATCCATCAATTTTGTGCGGTAATGATCTCTGTCAAAGGCCAAATCAAACAAAAGGAAACTCTAGACCAGAGTCTACGTGACCCACTTTGGACATTGGCCAACACCACAAACCGAAAAAAAACCTTAATGCTTTATGCTTTCTTTTGGCCAACAAGAAAAGCAGGAGAGTGCAAAAAAAAGGGGTGTTGGGGAAAATATAAAGTGAAATATATGCAAATGGCTTCTGCCTGGGTTTTTGCTTACACTTTGCTGGACCTAGACCCTCCTTCCATATATATCTTCTTTTTTTTTTGCTCCACCTTTTTTATCGCTCACTTTTTTCAGCGAAAAACCAACAGACTCGGGGTTTTTCATGGCTCGATATAATGGCTAAGAGCCGCCGGAAGGGTCAAGTTATGGCTCGAGTAATTTGTTAAGTTATTATCCCGCACACATGGCGTATGCGCAATGCGTACTAGTAATTCATATGCAAATTTTTGTCCGGAAATTTATGCTCATCCCTGCTCACTTTCCCAATTGCAGATATGAAACCTACAAGGCAACGCTCAAGAAAATACCCGCAACACGTTTATCCCGACTGACCGAAGCCCTGGCCAACTACGATCCGGTACTCAATGAATACTTCTTTGATCGCCATCCGGGTGTCTTCACCCAAATCCTCAACTATTACAGGTGAGTGCTAAGCCGTGCTAATTAAGCTGCTGAAAGCTGTTTAGACGTGCAATGACTAAGAACGAGTGGGAGGGAGGGAGGGAGGGTGAAGGCGCTCCTTTAAGCACCTTAATTACATCATTTAGTCTAGCTGAAAAGAGACGAGACGAGACATTTCCCTGGGAAAATTGTCTTACTTATTTCTTATTTTAGTTCTGCCATCAAAAGTGTTATCTTGCTTGAAATAATTACCTTGACTAACGATGGTACAGGACATATCAAAAGTCAGTTTTACGTTATAGATTGCTGAAATAATAAACAAAACTAATAATTTAATTGGCGCTCCGTGAGCGCGGCGAACTTTTCCGCTGGCCATTAATCTTAAGTTTTTAAGCTGGAAAAGTTTATACCGTATTTTTTGGGGTCATTAGCGATCTCATTTATCTTTGCCGTGAGCTGAGGTGTGATGACTTAAGTTGTTTAAAATTAATGAAAGTTTGTTTTTCGCTCATCGCCCCTGGAGTAGAGGAAGCTGCAGCTGCAGATGATGAAATTGTTGTTGGGAGGAAAACAACGCTGTCAGCATCGCATGGCTCTTCATCTTCATTGATTGGGCAGGAGTGTCCGTTACCCCATTACTTCATTTTCTCATACACCAAACCATAACCTATACCCGGTATAGCTCTGGGGGCTTTGGCCAAACAGTTTTCCAACTCAATTAACCGGGCACCAGGTAACCAGGAAAAACGGTGTCAAAGGAGGGCAAGCATCGGGAAAAAATACTGCAACATCCCGCGTTGATTGGAAATGAAGAGAAGTTCCCCCTGTTTGGGGGCTATGATGATGGAAGCTAGGGTCCTTGGGCACTCCTGCTTCGCTATTTTTTTCTCCTCGGGAAATGGGGGTTATATAATCAAATTATGCACGCACCAAATGCTTCAGACAATTTGTGTGTAAAAGATTTCATATAGATAAATGGCAAAATACAATGGCGAGTTGAGATTGTTATTTATCGATTACTCAGAGACTGCAATTTATGCAATTGACGGGAGAATGAATAATGTTTCAAAAGCACATCCGAGGGTTTAATTAAATATGCATTGTTTTAAGACATGTTTATAATGACATTATTTATGATAAATCAGGTATTGAATGAATGAGACTTCCGATTTGATCAAGTTAACATTCCTTTTTAAGTGTAGTCTGTGTTGAAGTGTAAGATTTTCTCTTCATTTTGATTAATAATTCAAAATGCACCTTGCACTCTATTTGAACTTCTTGCAGCTTTAAGTACTTAACAATTATTATTCATTGTAAGCAACCATAAACCCCATTTTATTGCGGTCACATTTTTTAAGAGTTTTATCCTGAACGAATCGATATAATTATTTATGCGCATTTAAGCGTCTGATCAGCTCGCGTGCTTGTTGAGGTCAGCTATAAATATTGATTGCATCGGTTGCACGCTGCGTATGCGTAATATTTGTTATGCACACTTGATGAAGGAAGAACAAAAGGCAAGGATTTTCCGAGGTGGAGGCAGAGTGAGAGAGACAAAGAGAAAGAGAGAGAGCGAGTTCACCAAAATGTAATTCGAGGCCATGGAAAATATTTAAATGCTGGGAAAAGCTGTATGAAAAAGTGGGTGAATTGTGGATTTTACAGAGGAAACCAATTAAGGATCCACGTGAGTGTGCGGCGAGAATTATATCGAAAAGCCATGACAATAACTGCACTGAACTTTCAGAGATTATAGTTGTGAAATGAATTGGTTGACTAAGGAATACCCTATTACTTCAGAGGTTAAATATAAAATAAAACGATTTTTAATATATATAAATAAATACAATATAAACCTAAACATTGCAACTTCAAGTTTATATCCCGAATATATAAATCTCTCTAAAAAAGAAGCCCTAAAAATACATATAAAAAAGTCTGTAAAAAGTATTACATAAAAAAGGAAACCCCGTTTCGCTTTGACTAACTCCTAAACTTTTCTTGACTTGCCTTAAGCCATGGGGTATCGCGACTTAAAAAAGGAAAGTAATTCCATGAAAATGTTCATGCAATTTTCTGGCGGACTAAATGTCAAAATGTCAAAGCTCGTTGCGGGTGGTATGGCCAGTAATCGAGCTGGATCAGGATCGTTGACTGAAAGCCGCAATTTGCAAGTCCGCAAACGAGAGGCGGTGCCGTCATTTCTTTTTCATTTCATTTTATAATACATATATATATATTTTTTTTTTGCAGTCCATTCTTGGTGCAAAATGATTTTTTAAACTAGCACAAAAGCGCGGCCAGGACAACGCAGCGAAAGAGTTGCGGCAAATATGTTGGGCAGTGCTGCACATAAAAAAAGGACATTCAGAATTGTGCACACGTGGCGCACACACAAAACTATGTGTGCTGAGTATGTGTGTGAGGGGGGCGGGGAAAGGGAGGCCTTGGGTTGGAGAGTGAAGATATCATCCAAAAATAAAAACCGGGCAAGGACTTGCTCCGCACTCGGCGACTGTCCGGCAGCTGATAGGGCATTACAAGTTGGCCAACAACTGCGGACAAGGACGGGTTTTGGCCCTCTCCCCCCAAAAAAAAACCACCAACACATTCTTTTCTTTTTTCCAAAACTCCCTTGCAGCCATTTACTGCAATTTGCTTCCATACAAACATACAGGGATATGGGGAAGAAGGATGTTGTTAGACAAAGTGATACCCTTTAGTTGCTAGATAAGAGGAAAGAATAGATGGGTCTGCCTTTAAACAGGATATGAGGATTGGTTCATTTATTCCCCTAAATCTGCTTAATATTTATTTACTTTATTTGAAATATTTGTCCTGTGTAGCCAACAAATATACCCTCTTAACCCACAATTTACAGGTACAAAAACGAAAGCATCAAAAGTTGTTGCACATGGCCAAGAGAATGGAACAATGGCCAGGCCAGCATTATGAATATGCCAAGTGTCTGTGAAAAGGGGGTAAGGGGTTGGGGGTCATATAGTGGAACGGTATGACCATGTCCGTTTCTTTGCCAGGTGTACGAATACCCACACATTTACCTGCCATGCATATGCAAGTGATACGAGTTCCCAACGAAAATGGTTTCGCCTTTCGGTTGCGCAATTTGCAGCCACAAGTAGAGACGTGCCGGTTTTCAACCATTATACATATTATTCGGTCCGACGTTTAGACCCCGTCATGCCTGGCCAAAAGTCCATGAATATTGGTTAAACTCAAGTCTCAGTGGGGGATTTAGAGGTAACTTATGACTTAATTGATGTACCAAATGATATTCAAGGCATCTTTGAATAATTAAGCCTGAGAGAAGGATTATGGAAGTTGTACATGGAAATTTCTACACTGAAGGAATTTATACACTTTATATTTGGTTCTTTTTTAATCTTCTGGAAATTATTTGATATTATATTAAAGAACTGGCAAACTGCATTATCCCACGGATGTGTGCGGTCCGCTTTTCGAGGAGGAGCTGGAATTCTGGGGACTTGACTCCAACCAGGTAGAGCCCTGCTGTTGGTCAACCTATAGCATACATCGCGATACGCAAGTAAGTTTATAAATCAATCTTTTAATTAAAATGATAATTACTTCATATGGAAATCTTGATTTTCCCGCAGAACACCTTAGCCATATTAGATAAGCTAGATATTGAAAATGAGAAGCCCACAGAGGATGAAATAGCTCGACTATTTGGCTTTGAGGAGGCGATGAGCAACGGCGAGCTTAACTGCTGGCAGCGTCTGAAACCCAAGATCTGGGCCATGTTCGATGAGCCCTCCAGCTCCACGGGTGCCAAGGTAAAAGTTAAACATCTAAAATATAATATATTATATAATATAAACCTTAAAATACATCTCTCCTCTCTACAGATCGTTGCCGGCATGTCGGTTTTCTTTATATTTGTTTCTGTGATATCCTTCTGCCTGAAAACCCACCCCGGCTTCCGTGTGGACCTGCCCATCACCTTCAATGGCACCTATGTCACGGGAGCGGGTGGTCCGCCCCATGGACATGATCCCATGGGTGAGCCGCCGGCGCAGACGCATCAGTATCATCAGCATCAGCACAGCATCACGCCGCCCAGCGGCAGCATAGGGCCCACCTTTCGTGTCACGAACTACACGAGCTATAGTAGCGCCAATTTCACGCCACCTGGCCAGACCACGCCCATTGCCACCATTAAGGGCGGGCAGAGGCAACGTCTTCGAAGGAATCTCATTGATGGCAATGGAAGTAGCCTAATTGGAGGACGTCGACATGGCTGGAACGAGACTTATGGTCAGCCACATGAGGCCTTCTTCTACGTGGAGTTGGTGTGCAATGTCTGGTTCTTCATCGAGGTTATCATCAGACTGATTGTGAGTATTCAAAGATGTTAAATTAAAAAAAATTTTATTCTATATTTTTGAAATTCTAAAAAATAGTCGACCTAGAACATTTCTCTAGAATTTTGATGAAGTTTCCTGTAATTTAAGGACAGGTATAGTCTTCTTCCTTAACGTAAGGGTGAATTGCACTTCTTTTGCTGGTAAATTTGTTGCAAAATCATGGTAAATTCGCCATTCAATTTTTGCCGAAAAATCTCGCACTTGTGCATATATGATTCCCAACTAGTTCTAACATCCCCGAAATGAAGTCACGGGTGCCATCCTACTTTTAGTTATGTATTTATGAGCAATTACAGAAGTGGCAAGTGTTAATAGTTATATAAAAGATGTATGAGTATAGGTTTTCTATATAAATTATTATTATTATAAATACAAATCCTTTGATCTGGTATTTTTATATTAATTGGTATTATTCTCCCACTTTTTAAGGTGTCCCCCAATCTGTGGCAGTTCATTAAGTCACCGGTGAACATCATTGACTTCACTGCCACCCTGAGTTTCTACACGGATGTGATGCAAAGGATGGGCGAGTACACGGGTCTCCTGGAGGCTTTCTCTATTGTGAGGATAATGCGACTCTTCAAGCTGACGCGGCATTCGCCGGGCTTAAGGATCCTCATACACACGTTAAGGCCTCGGCCAAGGAGCTGACCTTACTGGTATTCTTCCTCGTCCTTGGCATCGTGTTCTTTGCCAGTCTGGCGTATTACGCAGAGAAGTTGCAGGTGAGTTCCGTAAATATTATAATAATATTATAAATATATTTATATAAATTATAGGAAAGGATAGTTCTTTGATCTTTAAATTATTATTTCCATTTTAAAATTTGTGTTCTCCCTCAGGACAATCCGGATAACCAGTTCAAGAGCATTCCTCTGGGCCTGTGGTGGGCCATTGTGACCATGACCACAGTGGGCTATGGCGATGTGGCTCCCAAGACTTATCCGGGCATGTTCGTAGGTGCCCTCTGTGCCCTGGCCGGTGTGCTTACCATTGCCCTGCCCGTTCCCGTCATCGTCAGCAACTTCTCCATGTTCTACTCTCATACTCAGGTTGGGTTTTTCAGCTCCCTCTGATGTTTACCCAGTTGATACCCGTTTTTTTTTTTCTTTCTATTTCCAGGCTCGCTCCAAGCTGCCCAAGAAGCGACGACGCGTCCTGCCTGTGGAGCAACCACGTCGCAAGCGGGAACCCACTGCCCCCCATCGTGGACGAGCGAATGCTTTTAAACAGACGCCACCCACTGGGCCGGGATTAGTAGCCGGGGGTGGTAATCCGGCCGGAGCAGCGGGACTCGGAGGAGGAGGCGGTGGCGGTGGAGGAGGAGGAGGAGGAGGCGGTGGCCATGCTATGGGTCATCCCGCTGCTGGGGCGCCCATGTTTAAAGATGCATTCGGTGGAGCAAAAATTGGTGAGTTAAGCGAGAAGTTGTTATGGTATTCGGTACTCAGATTGTAATAAGTATTATATATATAATTATATATACTATAATTATAATCAAAATGAATACTATTTCATATTACGAAATAAATCAAAAGCTAGTGAAAATAAATTACTTATTTTAAACATATATTCTTCATAGTACTATAAATGATTAAATTCAATTTAAATATTTATTAAAGATCTTTTATAACAAACATCTGAGTACTGGGTCGTTTGACTAAGGTCGTTTATTGCGACCTTTATCTATTTATCAACAAGTCTCTGTCTCTTTCACTCAATGTCGGAATTTTATCAAATTTAATTTTCTTTTTGTATATTTTTTTGTTGCTTTTTGGCCTGCAGATATTTAGAGCAGCCTCAGAGCCACACACACACACAGACTAATCAAACACACAGATACACACACATGCGGCATACATTACACAGATACTCGCATACATGACACAGATACTCGCTATGCTTTTCCGCCCCCGAATCGCTCTCGGGGCCAAATTAATTTCATTCAATTCCTTGTTTAATTATTTTATTATTTATGCACCCTCCACTGGCCCAGTCAGCTGTTATTTAGCATTTAGTATTCCCCCGGGGTCCTGGTTCCTGCTGGTCCCTTCCTCCGCCCCAAGTGATTGCGAGTGGTAAATTTCCATTTTACTGATTATTCAAAAGCTTTGAGGGAGGATCCTTAGCGGGGAGTAGGAGGAGGAATCAGAGCAGAATCAGGAGCAGGAGCAAGGACCTTCACCACATGCATGTGGCTGGTTGACGATGACGTTGGCGGCCCCGGGGCCGAAGGACTTAAGTGGATATATGCACTCAACCAAAGACAAGATTTCCCACTATCCTCCAGCAGCAGTTGTGCAATTGCAGAGCAATTTCGAGTTCACTGCAAAGGTTATAAATTTAATGTCGTACAAGGATTTATAATCGTTGTCGGTTTTGCTTAATGCCCTCGATTTGGCTCTGAGTGTGTTCCCTCCTTCCAGCATAGTTAACTTTGCTGAGTCCATTAATGGGTATTTTGACTATGGATAATCCCGATTATTTATGGCCATGAAAGAGAGTAGACTGTAAACCTGCAATAGCTTAGCTTTTGACTAATTTTCGGGAACTTAAATCGGACATTAAATGACTATAAAGACTGCTGAAGTTGAGTCAAGTTTTAGTGAGCAGAGTTCAGAGTAGAAAATTGAAAATTGTGGGGTTAAGAATATGTTCAAAACTTTCAGAGATAATTAAACAACGAAAATGTTTATTTATTTGGAATTATTGCTTACAATATTTAACAACTTAAATATTAACTAACGCATTAAAAGGTAAAAAGGGCTTTAATCTCAGGCAACTTTAATCCCTTTCCCTCAGCTGACTAACAGGAAATTATGGTTTATTAAAAATATTATTGAATTTAAGCTTTAAACCACCTGAAAATCATTTAACAAAAACTTCTGCCTTTCGATATGTATTCGCTTTATTTAAAAAATTCAATAAACCCATTGGTATATTCTTAACATTGGTGTATTTTATAATACTTAAGTTTTGTATCCTTTTTGTTATTTTTGGGGGCTCTTTAAAAGATTTCAAGTCTTAAACCGTATTCACCTTTTTAACCCCTTTTAAAACCCATCGATTTAATGTGATTGCCTATTGTTGTTTCATTCATTTTGTTCTTTAATGTTGCTCCTTTTGTATTCTTGTAACTTGTAACTTTTGTGTGTGTTGATGTAACGACTTGTGACCGTATGCGTGTGCTGTAAATGTGTATGTGAACTGTAAAATGCATCCTTCCGAAAACTGCCAAACTGAATGGAAATGAAGGCACCGCGAATGTGAACGGCGTCAATGTCATTGGCCTGCATCATCCTGCGAGGACGACAACGACAACGACTTTGCTGCCAGATCCAGATCCCGATCCAGATCCGACGCCGCTGTCGACAATGACCTACCAAGTGCCTATGCAAGTGCTCCAGCCCCCGCCCACAGTCCACAGTCATGGCCATGCCCACGCCCATGCCCACAGTCACAGTGGTGGGCATGCCCACGCCCATGGCCTTGGGCCCGCCGCGTCATCGCTCACTGGCACGGCGGCATCGGCAGCTGTTGTTGCCACTGCCACTGCCACGGCAGCCGCACCCGCCGCCGGTCCCGCGTTCATCAGTTGTAAGTGCCGTCCCGTCCAGCGTCTCAATGTCTCTGTTGACCCCCACCCCCCTCAAAAAACAGAAAAAAAAAACCCGACCCCCCTTTTGACTCGTCTCTTCATCTCCACCTCTGGTGTCTGCTTGTCTCTTGGCATGCTTTGCACGTGTAGAAATGTTTGTTTCTTCCTCATTTACGGAAATAGGAATATTTTCGTCTTATGTCTGTAAAGGTGCACTGGAAAAAATTAGGTACTTTCTTAGATTTAATTTATAATGTAAATTATATTGTTTATTCACTATACATGCAGAGAGATTCAATTTTAGTACTTTTATTAACTATGGAAAGTATTTTTCCAAAGCTAGTTATTAAAAATAAATATAATAAAATTTCTTTAAATCGAAATAAATTTTTTTATACCAAAAAATTATTTTTTCAATTATTATTTTTATTATTAGTAATAGTCAGAAATTTTGGAAGTAATAAACTATTGATCAGCAACAACAGACGACTCAATCTGGCCATATTATTTGGAAAGAAATAATAACCAATTCACAAAATTTTTAAGAGTTTATTACATCATTAAAATCGACAACATGTAATCAAATTTTGTATTTAAAATTTTAGATTTCTTATGCTATTTTGTTAACCTAATGAAAACCAATACTGAAAGGCTTTAAGAACTGATATTAAGTTTAAATTTGTTGAAGGAAAATACAATTAAAAGTTATGTCAATATTTTATTTAAACATTAGGAAGAAAGTAGTTACAAGTAATGTGAGATATTATTTTAGTATATACAAAATTTTAGTTATTTAACATATGTAAATGTCCTTATTTACTTTCAACTTCCTGATGATCTCTCAAGTTATTAAATGAATCAAATATTATTCAATTATTATCTTAGAACTCTGAATCTTTCTCCTTGTATTCCTTGATACTTTCCTTTCAGTGCACCTTTCCGCTTAATGCCTTGGTAAGATCCTTTTACGGGCTTGCAGCAATTAGTCCTTCGGGTGGGCTGGCACCTTCCCCACCCCCCTCTCCCCCACACACACACTTACTTGGCCCGGTGTCATTGCCCCAATGGGCTTGTTAAAATTTATCGCATGCTATAAATCCTGCCTCGAATGCCATAACTTTGTCACTCCGACAGTCAGTCAATAAAAGCAGCTTGCAACAAATATAAAGCAGAAATAAACAAAACAACAACAAATAAAAAAAAGGGAAAACTTTTTATGTTTATTTTGCATATTAAAAGCTTTTTGCCAAACTCCCTTTTTATTTCTGGCATTTAACTTTAATTACAATTTTATTATGCTAGTCGAAAATCCTTTTTATGTCATATTTCAAAATGCCCAAACACAGACACACACACACACCATCAACTCTATATGCTCCTCCACTTAAACTCGCACAACATACACATATAGAAGTAAAGTTCATTTATCGTCAAACAAATTGAAAAACTTTTTCCATTTGCTCGCCTGGAAAATCGCCCTACTCTCAAAACCAAAAACGAAGCGAAAAATTGAATCAAAAGTGTGAAAATATGAGGAAGGATCTAGAACCTGTCCAAAAAAAAGGGGGATTTAATGTGAGGAACCTGGTCAGGAGAATTTCAGCATGATGTGCATTTTAATTAAAGCCACAAAAGCTCAAGTGTGCCAGCTCAAACCTCGGTTTTTCCTTCTTTTTTTCTCTTCGCCTTTGTCCGAGAGGAAAATGTTGGTCAGAGGGGTTAAATTGGGGAAAACGGAAGGCAGTTTGCGGCTCTCAAGGCGATTAATTTCTTGAGCCACTTGTGAGTTTGTGTAAAGTGCAAAAAAAAAGCAAGAAATCCAGTCCAAAGTTGCTTAGTTGAAGTTAACCGGATGCGGTATTCTAAAGGGGACTTCCGTCAGGGACTTTGAGAGCAAAGTGTTAAAAGAAAAAAAGGAATCATAAATGTTAATCCGAAAAGGAGATGCAGGTTCTGAGTGATAGTTATACAAGAAAAATCTACGGAAGGCAAGGCACTTTAATTTAAATGAAATGGAGGATGTGAAGGATGATTAGTAAATTGTAAAGGAAAAGCTTAAGCAGATATATATTTAATTTTTACTTTATTCAAAGATAAATTCGTTGCATTTTAGGTTCAGTTTTCTACTAATTAGAAACTATTTTGTTTTTTATACATTTGTACATATAATTTCCTTTGTCCTGCCCTGGAAATTACCATTCCTATTTATAACCTTTGTTTGTTCTATTTATAAAAACCCCCTGTGCCATTTAACTATAAATATTTATAAAATCCTTAGAAGAATGTAATTATTAAGTGTTTTCGCTGTTTGTGCTTCTGGCAACGCTTTGCACGTAGCGAAACTTTTTATAAGCCGCTTAGGAGAGACACAACTTGCCCCATTTGTTGGCTAAAAAAGCGTTGCATACTTTGGCACGTTCTGAGCCGGGGAAAATGACATTTCTCTGTTCGCCGGAAATGCAGCAAGAGCGTCGCCTACATTTGGCACGGGTAACCAGGCTACCCCCAGCTCCGCCCCTGTAAGCAGCTTTAACATTATGGCCAAGGTGTGGAAAGTACAGAAAGGGGCACAAGAGAGGCTTCGTTGCATGCAAATTTGCAGAGCATAAAAATAGCAGCTAAATCATTAGCAGGCCAAGTCGTTGCAGGAGCTACTATGTTACCTCCGGGCTCTGCCGGGTCTTCTAGTGGCCATTAAACGCACAACACACCTCCGCACACACAACACACCTCCGCACACACACACACCGCGAATGGGCAAAAGGCGTGAGCAATTTATGGCCACAGTGGGTGAAAAGTGCATGCCAAAGGCAGGCCGACGGCCAGGTATTTCAATTAAAGTCAGTCGGGTGCCCCAAAACCCCCACGGCCCCATCCTGCAATTACATTGCAGTCTTGGTTGGTTCACGTAAATTAATTTTAATATTTAAAGTTGTTGCATTAGCTGTAAAACTGAGAAATAATTTCTGGGAGAAATGGAAGGAATTCCAAGGAAGAGGTATCCTTGCTAACTGTCAACTCTAGTTAAAAGTTTGCTGACAGCTCTTTGATGGATTGTTTGAGGAGTTTCAATTGGTAACTTTCAATTGGTTAAGTTAATGTTGTTTGAGTTTTGACTACCTTGTTGCTTACCATAGAGAAATTGAAGATGTTTATGTAAAAATGTGAATTATTTGTAAGTAGTTCTTAGTAATTGCTGTTGGTATCTCTAAGTATTTAGCTTTAACTTGAATCCCTCTTTATTTTTCGTTATTTATTCGCTGCAAACCTCTTGTAAAAATTGTTTAACTTGAACTTCCTTTTAACCACTTTTTATCTAAGCCTCCATTTAAACTTTGTTTCGCTTGAACTTTTTGCCAAATAGATTTCCCTCACTCGCAATTATGCCAAGTTAAAAGTTTTTCACGTCCTTTCGTCAACTGCCTTTTGATAGAAATCATGAAAAATGTATATATATGTATGTGTACTTTGTGCCAGTGTATTTATCTATAGAAATATTAAAAATGATTTCGCAACTTTTCACGTTTCTTTTTTTATTGTTGTTGCCAACTTTTTTTTTTAGCCTGAGAATGCCATGTAACAGCAATGTTTAAAGTTTTTTTGTAACCAACAACCGACGCCCCTCTTGGGTTTTTCTTTCCCTTCTTAGTTTTCCCTTGTTTGTTTTCTTTTCGGTTCTTCTTTTGGGGGGAAAACTTTGGCCGCGCTCTACTGTTTGCTTCGACGGCACTAACGCATTTCCCACGGCTTTTCCGGCCCGCTCCTCTGACTTTCCAGCGGACTACTTAAGCGTGCCGGCGGTGCAGAGCCTGCAGCCGCGGGCGGCGACGACTGGCCACGACTTCATGCTGCCGCTCCAGCCGAAGCTCCTGGGTGAGTGTGACTAGGAGGGTCCTGGGTAGGGGTTTCCCCCTAAAAAGAGGGAAGTCGATGTCCTCCTCCCTCCGGAGACCAAGGCCCCTTCGAGAGGAAAGTTTTGCGGACAGATAGGCGGAGGAAGAGGCTGGCAGCAGGGGTGGAGAGGTGAACCCGCAGTGCCAGTTGAACCCACTTGTAACCACACACACACACACACACATAGTTTGAGAGCCATTGTGCGGCCAGGACAATGGTTCGTGTCAGGTCGAGGGCCGGGTGTCACCGGAAAGTTATCGCGCCCTGGCAAAAGGGTATTTCAAAGCAGTGTCCCAGCTTGGAACAGTTTTGTTTTGTGCCAGTTTAAAACTAATACTTTAATAGAAAAAAATATGTATATATTTAAAATAATGTACCAAACTATGTATCCTTCATTTATTGTAGGAATGCACTAAAACATCTACACTTGAAAATTCATTTCTCTACTAGTCACTATTTACTCAAACAATTAGATTCAGAGTTAACTTAATTTTAGCCATATTTTCTCACAAATTTAAACGCTTTACACTTACACTACTTATGCAGACCTATTTAAATAGTTCTAAAATTTAACTTAATTTCAAATAAATCAGTTCCTAATTAGAGAATGAAGTAAATTTATGACTATCAAGCTATATAATTTCAAAATCTAAAAACATCTAGAAACATAGTCTTAGCAAGGGTATCAAGGACCTCTACTATTTCCTATTTTCCGCTTAAAAAATGTGTTAACCAGAAGGCGGAAGTGCCGAGGATGCCAAGTGCTGGCTTATTCACTTCACGGGCCTTTACAGATGCCTGCACAATGCGTTGGCGATAAACCAATCGCAGACAGGTCCTCGAATGCACTTCCGCTTCCGGGTGCGCATCCTTCAGAGATACTCAGACGCAGTCAAAGTGTTTATAGTGGCCTTCTCTCTTATCTCATTTCTCCATTCCGCAGAGCGCAAGGATCAGCATCCGCTGCAGCTGACCGCTCACAATCTGGCCACGGACACGCACCAGATGATGTATCCACCTCAGGCGCCGGCGCACAAGGCACAGGTCCTTAATGTCCGCCCACGTTGAGCATGACCCACAGTCAGATGCCGCCTGGTATGGCCAGCATGGGTCAACGCACTCCGAACCTCAGCTTCCGTGCCTCCCATGGTGGTCAGTCCGCCCAGGTGGCCACGATCCAGCAGCCCATCCCTCATGCCCATGCCTGCCATGCCGCCACGAACTGCAACATCAAGATCTCGGTGGCTCCAGAGGAGCTGCGTGGACCCAAGGTCACGTTGGTTGATGATCTCAGCGACGAGGTGTCCCCATCCTCCACGGACGATTGCGGAGACTGCTGCCTGGTGGAGGATAGTGACACTTACGATGGCGGTCCCACCAATAATGGAGTACCCTGTGGCCAGGAGAATGGAACGAACAATGGACTTCTCGACGGCGAGGAGGACGAAGATGGTGAGGGAAGCTGTGTGGGCGGCGATAGTGGGGATAGTCTGGGAGGAATCTATATAGGTCCCAGGCATTGATAGATAACTCCCTAGAAGTAAGAGAGAACTTGATATGGTTTAGGTATCTAAGGCGTATGTGAATGTCTCGTGAAATGTGCTACTTTAACCCTAAGTCGCAGCTATTTAAAAGGAAGTGTATATTTAAGAAATTTTAAACCAAGGTCAATCATGTTCAATCTTTTATTCCGTTTTATTTTTCAAACTTTAGTCAAAACTTTAATATAAAATTGAAATTAATTTGCACATTTATGCATTAAGGAAAACACTTTTCAGATTTGCACAGCTTAAACTTAATTCCAATTAATTTGATATAATTTCCAAGGCAGTCTAGTCTGCAGCTGATATAAAAGCTGAATTTTTAACTAAGACTTTACTAAAACTACTAAGAATCTTGCTACATTTCAGTCTGAACTGTAAAAATACATTTTAAACCTAAAGCTAAATTTCACATGCAAAAACAAGGATATAAATCCTTGAAATGTAACTTTTGGCTTATGGTTTCTTACTAGTAAATTCTTTATATAAAAGAGTGAGGATTATTTAACTGCCAGGCTTAAAAGGGCTTATTGATTTAGTTTAGTGCTGATAAAATTACAATTAAACACTAGATCACTGCCTTACCATGTGTAGGTATTTTTCGATTAATTTTAAGGCTGCAGCTTCCACATGCTTGGACCCATTTATTATCAGCAGTTTTAATCAATCTTTGCTCTCTGCGACAAACAACATTTCTTGCTCTGGACAAGACAAACATCCGTAACATTTGTATCAGTGTCCTTATAACTGTCATGTTGACAACTGTCATTGGCAGCGTGCATGTGGGAAGGACACTCTGGACGTGAATGTGGATGTATGTGGGTATGGGTCCTTATGCAGCCAAGCACGTCCGGATGGAGTCCGGTGAACAAATAAGGACGAAGACAGAGGACGGAGATTGAGAGTAGCTGCCCGCATACAAAGCAAACATATCGTCCATATAAATGCGACCACTTGTGTGCAGTCAAGCGACAGTAGCAGGATCCTTCGAGAGCAGGAGCCTCCTTCCACTTCCCGGACACATCAAGGTGTTTATTGTGCAAATCTGGGGACGAAACTGGCATGGCCAACTATAAAGTCACACACTTAACTCTCGCTGGCGTTCCGCCCTCTCCTGAGTCATGGCCAAAAGTGTCACCGGGCCATGTTTATCTGACACATTGACTGCCACCATTTCAATGAACTGGCGGACAAAAACTATGTCGACAAGTCGCACACACAAAAGGGCGCCGACAGTCGAAAACTAAAATGGCGACGCCACTCGTGTCCTTGGTGTCCTGTCTACGACCCAGCGCCCACTTCCTTTTCGGATGGCGGTTTGTGTGGTTGACCTTGTATATAGTCTTCTTTTTTTTTTTGTTTTTGGGGTCGATGTAAGTTTTCACTCCTCGACGTTTATTCCCCATAAATGTTAATTGATTTATTTATAAGAGAGATGGCGTGAGGGTTTAACAAAACGACAGGAACTGTAAATAGTGGAATGTGACAGTTAACGACTATCTAAAAAACAAAACAAAATAAATAGAGAACAAAAAATGAAACTGAACATGAAGTTGAGAAGAAGTGGAAAACATATTTGACTTTAAATAAGGTTCAATGGTAATTTTTGGTCCAATATTTATAGTTTTTGATGTGGTAAAAACAAAAATGTTAAGCGAGATGGCGAACCAAACTTTGATCCGAATTCATATACATGTAAGTTTCAAAAGTTGACAACTAGATAAAGAAGAGATCGTGGTTTTAAGTAAATGTGAAATTTAATTAGTTGAGTCTCTGATCTAAATATAAATATATATTGCGGTGAGGGAAGTGATTCCAACTAGTCAGTATAATCAAATCCGTTGGTCTGAATGTGTGTATCGTTCTAAATGTACTCTTAATTACTTAGCTAAACTCGAAATAAATTGTTTAATCATTGCCAAAAAAGAAGGACAGTATAGTGTAAGTTGTCCCTAGATTCGGCTCGCCGATTGTAATGTTTTTCTAGTTTAAACATAGATTCCTTACTTTAAATTGTATATGGGAAAAGTTGCTTTAAATACTGTTCAATTTAGATAAAACTTACATGTTTTCTTATATTACAAGAACCACAACAACCAAAAAACAAATGAAAAGAATTTCAAAATTAGGAAAGATCGCGATGATGATGATAAAGAAAGTATATTGTTAATTCTTGAACTAAAATTGTAAGCAAAAGGTTACATTTGATTAATTCTACGATAATGGATAATGAACCCTTTTGATATGCCAGAGAAGCAGCAACACCAAGTCGTTGCTCAATCAAATATTGTTTCAATAGATTTAAAGTTAGTTTAAAAAACACCAGTGAGATACTAAAACTAATATTAAAACTTTTGCCTAGCAAATAACTAAGTTTAGACCGGTAAATCCAAAAACAAGAATCCATTGATAACAACAAACAGAACTTGAAAGAAATCACCCACCACAGACAGGACAACAGGAACCCGGCTGAACATCAGAAATAATGCCACATAATTTTTGGACTATAATCTGTGTGTATATAGGTAAAACTCAGACACAAAAATACAGTTTGATTTCCTAAACATTTCTAGAAAGTTTATGATAAGAAACAGAAACCGAAAACAAGTTTACAAGCAAAGCGAATTTTTAAATGTTGAAAATGACAGGCAAAGAAAACCAAAATGATAAAATCCCAAGAGTATAAATAAAGATAAACAAAACAAAAACGAAAATGTGGTGTGCGAAAAATTCCAATTTTAACAAGAAATAAAAATAAAAATTCTTTCAAAAAGCATTCAATATTTCAATGATTTTTCCACATGCTCGCCACGCCCATCATCATCATCTTTGCACACGTTTTTCAGTAAACCAAGACACGTACCGCATTTTATGCTAATCAAACCGGGACGCGAAGGAAATTCAATTTCGGGCCCACACACACACACACACACACACACAAAAACCACGGACAGGATTTTTAATTTAAGGGCAAACACACGATTGCAAAGCCGACTTCCCACACTCTTACCACCACTCACATTTCATTTGGCCAGGCCATAAACAGAGGATCAGCTCCGAGGCTGTGCCCTCATAAGGCCATTTAGAGGAAAATTTATGCCTGCCACCTTTGCAGTAAACTGGCCAAAAAAAGAAGAGAGAAAGAGAAAAGGAAACGTAAACACACGGCCAAAAAATACCCTCGTACGGCCAGAAATGGGAAACTGCAAGTGATGGCATCTAATATAGACACTTAACCACTTACAACCAGGCCGGCTCACTCACACTCTCACAGCGCAGGACGATTTTGATACACGTACACGCAGTTGGCACATCAAAGCGCAAATCCATTAAGCATTAAGCGAGAGTCGTCAGGTGCTAGGAACTATGCGGGCCAAGACGGTAAAAGGATAAGTTCGAAGGACGAATGCTCTAAAAAGCAGGCATATATTTTTCCAGGTATATTATTTGCTTTTAACAAGTTGGGGTAAGTGTGTGACTCTTGTATGTATAATACATATATTAAATTATATTTCATTTAAATTAAATATGATTAATTGTTTTGGATATTCCCTCGTATTTAAACAAATTTCTCCAAAGTAATATGATCTTAATTTATTTTAATAGCGATCTACAACATGATGTTGTTACAGTTATTATTGTTTCCAGCAAAGCGGAAGCGTCTGTCTTTCTTTTAAATATATATTTTTTTAATCTGTTTTGACTTTTTAGGAATAAAGACATTATTTTCAATATTCCCTAATATTTTAACACATTCTCCAAAGTAAAAGGATCTTTATTAATTATTATAGCGATTTACAACAGGACTTCTAGGTAGATGCTAGCTTGAAATTTGTTCTCTATCTATCTATCGAACTTTATTTTTGCCAAATATTTAAATTAATAGAAAAATTATGAATGATAATAAGAATAAAATGATATAATTTTTTTAATATAACGAAAAAAATCAACACCGAATATTTTCTAGTCTAGGTAAACTTTAGATTGCATTAATGTAATATTTTTGATACAGCTGACAGAAGTTCAGTTTATTTATTAGAAATCAAAGTAAATATTTTATATTTATATATTTTACATATTATTCCTATGTTACCTGCAAATATTAACCAGTTCAGCAAGCTTAATCACCTGTTATAGGGTATCAGCAAAAAATCCCCAGTTGGCAGTGAAGCTGAAGCTGGGCAAATCACAAAGCCCGCTGCTACGTGAGCGCTCGCTGCAGAGTCTGAGGCAAAGCCAACGGTAAAGGTATAGGTATAGGTTTAAGTATACTATATAGTAAAAGCGTAGGCGGTCTTATCTGCAGCACCGCTCCCAGGAGTGTGCTAAAGCAGGGCGGCAAGAAAAACCAAGGGGAGATGTGGCACTCATAAGCGGGCCGAAAGATTAATGAGCACCACCTGCCTGCAGACAAATTAGATGGCATAATTCAGTGTGACCCGCACACGGAACATATTTTTCTTCAGGATGGGGATAGGGATTGGTACTGGGATTGGGATTGGGATGCTCTGCTCGCTCATAGGTGTAGCGCCGCAGATCCACATCGTTAAGTGCTGGCAAATTTATGCAAAATAAATTATTTGCGAGTTTGAAACGTGCTGGAGAACAACAAAGGGCGAACAGGACAGACTCGGAGTTAAAGCGAGGAAATGAAACCAGCCAGAGTGTACTCTCCCAGAATCCAGCATAAGCTGTTGATTTATGCCCGACTTGATAAAATGTCGCATATCCGGTTCCGTCTTGATGCTCAGCACCGAAATGGGCGCAGGCCCTGGAAAATGAAATACATTTTTTTTTTCTTCACTTGCTTTTCGGGGGAAATGGCAGAGGCATCCTGCAGGGATGAGGAGGAGGAGGAGGCGTCGACGGTATCTGCGATAAAAGCCAGAAGAAGTAATCAAAGTTAGCATATGGCGGCGATTGCTGCCTAGAAATGCATGGCAATCTTCAAATGTCTTCTCTGATTGTCTGCAACCCGTCTGACACGCCCATTTTTATTCATTTCCAGCTGCCGTTCGTTCGGTGTGTATTTGAGTTGTGCGAGTGTTTCTTATGGTTCCCAGGGTGTGGCTTATGGGGCGTATGAGTAACGTTTCTTTTTGCGTTGAATAATCGGTACAACTTTTTGGGTCTCTTCTTTTCTTTTTCCTTGAAGGGCAGATGTGAACAATAAGCGCTTTACATACGTAATAACTTGTTGGTCTTAATGTTTTCATTATTTATAAGGATGAGAGGGGTCTGTAGAACTCAAGAATTTGTTTTTTAATTGTCTGTATAATACTTCTTTCTTAATCAAGAGCTTTCTTTGGCTTTTAAAAAGCAAAACACTTGTCTCGTAGTCTCTGCCGCCATAAAATTTTATTGCCACAGATTATCCAAAGAGAAAAATAGCTTTAAAAATATAGTTAAACCCCTGACCGCATAAACGTGTCTTTGAAGAAGACATAATGCGAAAGAAACCACAGGACATGCAAAGGATTCAATCGGTATCACATTCATCATCCTCTTCCTCCTCCTTCCTGCGGCAGTTTCGACGTGAGTTCGTCCTTCTGCCACAGCGATTTTGATTGGCAGCCATCTGGCAAACCTGCAAAGTTCGACGTCTCCCCGCCATATTCATACCCATGTAGCAACGTAACATTCGCCAGGTTAGGCGGATATTCCAACGAATATTTTGGAAGAAGCACTTCACATAGTCCATTAACTCGGTGGCTGCCAGGACATACCACAGTGCCGCCAAGCTCGCAATGCTCGTGATCACACCGGACAGCAAATAAAATTGCATTGAGGGCTTGCAATACGGAGAACCACTGACCAATCTTTTCAGCCACGAAATCAGCGCAAAGGGAACACATCGCTGGGAATCCGTCACATTGAAGATCTCTTCCAGCAGAGAGTAGAGGAACCGCTCCAGTCCACACCATATAATAATCGCGGCCAGCTCGACCAAGAAGATGGCGGCCACGATCTCGATCAGAACTTGCCAACCGTGTGGCATGTGACTGAAGCGGCAAGGATATACATCGGTGTCCCACAGGAAGAGCAACGTGGCCGCCAAAAAACCCAGCTGGCAAAGGTGGGAGCCGGTGAGCAGCGATCAAGCGGCTGGGCAAAAAATATCGCAAAGCCCAGTATTTGGAATAAACCGGCCACGGCAACGGCCAAGGGTTCCATTTTTTCAGCTTATCTCTTATTTAGCAATATAAAATGTTAAGAATTTTGAAATTACTTTTGGTAAAAATATTGTTAATAGTTTCCTACTTTAAATGGAACTGATCGTGTTAGCTATTTCAATGAGTAAAGTAAAAGTGACAATGTTTTGAAAGAAAATCCAGACGTACAAGGTAAATTTAATTAGAAAGGAACCTCAAATACCTGGACCTGGGACTTCAGCAGGGGGATTTACGGAAAAGTTACTTTATAATCAGTTTTATATTTATGATATTAATTATAACTTTTGGTTAAGTAATAGGAATTTATTCTTGTTAAATTGTAAACATTTTTTACCTTTGCTTGCAATGCCATCAAGATGTCAATTCCGGTCCCACAAACTACATATGTACATATATAATCGGGATTGCAATGCAATGCATTGCAGGAAATATTTCCTACTATATAGAATATAGAATATATTCTTGATTAGCATCAACAAACCGATTCGATCAAACGGCGATCGAGCCACCAAATAGAAGAGACAGAGTGAGAGCGAGAGCGAGGGCATGAGCGTGAGCGGGAGGGTAACATATACCTATTTCCCTCTATTACTCTCTGCCTTACTCTAGAGGTGCCTCTTTCTCTCTAGCTCTCTCTCGCTCTTACTGGCCTGAAGTTCTCGTCACTGGGAGAGTATAAATAGAGGCACTAGGGTCGCGCGCGAATCAGTCAGTCCCGGGAGGCCGCGGAGTTAACATCGACAGTGATCGTGCATTTTGTGATAGTGAATTCCCTTTAACCTAATAAAGATGACGTGGCCTATTAAAAAAAAAAAACTAGATAAACAGGAAGAAGCTTATTTACGCAAAGGAAGGAAATAAATAATGACGACTACTGATTATTATGTGTCCTCCACTGCGGTAAGTCTTAATCATTACAATTATATGTACATGCTATGTTATATTAGGGATCAGCATAGTTTAGAATTATGTTACTTTGTATTAACTTACAGTGATACAGCAATTTGTATTGTTTACCAATGTATAGTCAACGTGAACAGCCCACTAATTAAATTATTTACAAATACTGATAATACGATCGTTTCAAAACTGAGACCAACTTTTGCTACATTTTAAATATAATTCAGTCGAACTTAAACTCAGTAAAATAATCATTTCCGACCCTATAAATCATATACATTCTTGATCATCGTGAAAAGCTGAATCGATCTAGCCATCTCCGGCAAAATATAAAATTGTAAACATTTTTTCTACATTTTATAAGGGTTTAAATTAAATTTTAAAATTTTCAAAAATTGACAAAAATTTAAATTTTTCTAAACTTAAAATTGATTAAGTGGATTCATAATCTAATAAAAATGAAAACAAAATTGCTTTCTGAACTGAAATTAATAATTTTTGGCTTAGTTATGATCTATTTCCCAATCCCTTATCATGAATTATCATACATTCTAATATCATACAAAATGACTTTGACTTTAAATTATAAACCCTTCAAGAATATAAAACTCGTTGTAAACTTGATGAAAAGCATTGGCTTCTATATAATTTAAGCCTCTAAAATGTTTAAAGTACCGATTCAACCGCCTGTCGTATCCTGATTGACAGTCTCTGGGTAATTAGGATGCTCCAATCAGCAGCAGGAGCCAAAGCGTCAGAGGGAAAACCCTTCAGAGCCGGGCTCATTATACATGTATTGCAATTAATTAGTGTTTGTCAAGCTATACAAAGCCCCGCCACACACGAACTCAACAGGAGACAGGGACTCAACTCAAACACAAAACTCGATATGTGTTTGTGTGTGGAAAATTAGTTTACCGAGACCCGCCCACTAATAGTCTCGCATTACGCGCTTATCTAAAATCATTCGGCCCAGGCAGTCATCCAAAAAAGTGCCAACAAATTAACATAACATTTACCGAATTAATCAAAATTAAAGCGTCTCCATCTGATGCTGCCTTGCTCCCCCCAAAAACCGAAGGCCATGTCAATGAACCGCATGAACAGACCCAGCGGCGCCCCCAAAAGCGTGCTAACAACCTCGGAATCAGTGTCCTTTTGCCCCTTAGGTGTCTGGCTGGAGGGGGGAAGGACTCCCGGCAAGGAGATGAATGGTTACCTGGCGGCGGCCGACTGCTAACTTGAATCTATCAAAGCCATTGGCAGCGGCTAAGTGAAAGTGCCTGGAACTGACAGTGAGAAAGAGCCATGGGCCTTGTGCCTTAGGCAATGGCACAATGCACACTGGAACGAGATCAAATCAAGGGAAATTTCCAACTTAGTCGCAAAAATTAAGGTTTTAATTCAAAAAATAGATTTTAAAATGTTTTAAATCAAGGAAAGGTTCCTTAATATTTTTTATTATATTTTTACTTTAAAAAATTGTACTTTTCATATAGGACTCCACAAGAAAATTTAAGTTTTATAGACTTGCAATTGAAGGAAATTTGTTATTTAGTAATCATCATCATTTACATATTTCTTTATTCTTAATGAGTAAGTTCTCATTACTTTATGTCCTTGAATTTATTTATTTATACCACTGTATACGCACACACATTAAGCCAACTGATGAGTAGGGTTCATTCCTGTCAGGACTAAGGGTCCTGTATTTGCTTGCGTGTGTTCGTTTCGGGTTCATCTTGTCTATTTAAAAATTGATTTGTTGTTATTTACATGCGACATTATTTATTTGGGATATCTTTTTAAGCGATTTTATGCCGGCAACCGATAATTGTGTGTCCTTCAGGTCTTGTTGTCGCTGTCGAAAATCCAATTTGTAAGTGTCAGTGGCAGTTTTTATGGGCCCAGCCAGCGGGTGAAAAGGACGAGACAGATCCTGGTGATTTCTCCACTGAAGCGAGAATCACAGTTGATTTCTGATGCAACAAGTTGGCGTGGGTCAGGATTTGGGGACTGACTGGAGGTGTCACAGCATGACTCTTGTTATTGTACTCCAAGGGAATACAAGGATGTGTTCATTTTGGAGTGATAGATATATGGGGAGAAGGTCGCGGGTAATTGAAAGCATTCGTGTGGAAAAATCAATCAAAATTGTGGGCTTGACATTTAAACGGGTTTTTGGGTTCATGGGGGCAGAAAATTCCTATAAAATAGTGGAGAATTTTGGTTTTGAAAAACAAACATTTTTGAAGGCAACCAACTGGAATGACATATTTGCATAAATATTTATGCAGGACATTAAGAAAATGCCAACGCTGGATACTTACCGTTGATTAACGCTAATGAATTATTAATACAAATTTGCATTCCATTTTGGGGGATTTTCTGAGGCAAAAAAAAAAGATTAATACTCCCACAGGAAGGGAAGTACTTATTTTTCAATTAAATAATAAATCATTCCAGGAAGAAGTAATGACTGCAACGGCGGCAGCAATTAAGCGTAAACAACTGCAAATTGTCTGGGGAGAATAATTTGCACTTCCTCGACCTGTCCGCGCCTCCTTCTAGCCCACTTTATGTGGCAGGATGCAGGCTCCAGGATGCCAGGGCACCAGGATGCCAGGAGCCACTAGAGTTGGGAAGAAGAAGCCACACGGCCAAGTCGTGCACTTAAAATTTCATATAATTTCGCACGTGAAACTTTAATGAACTTTTCACACTCATTACACATACGCACGCAAAGCGAGATAGGGACCGAAAAAGGATGTGTCTGCTCCTGGAACTTTGAATAGGAAAACCAGGAGCGGAGTAGAGATTACTCTTACATATTTACCAGTTTAACGCAACTGAAATATGAGCTGGAACCTACTAATTTATGGCTATATAGAAGGTCATTTGTGTTTAGATACATTAAAAATTAAAATAGGAATTAATCTTCGAGTCCAATAAGTAATTAGGATTTAGTTTTAGCCCTGTTCTAGCCCTGTTAATATTTAAAATATATATAAACCTACTCTTTATACTTAATTTACTACTAAATATACACTTTTGTTAGCTTATTTAAACAGTAACAGTGTAAAATCCTACCTTACTACGCATCTGACCCGACACGTTTGCAATTCAAAGGATAGGAACATATGGATATAGGGCGTTTGTGGAGCAGGTTACCCCCAAATTTGGGGTTTTGGGTGCGACCTTGTAACCACATGCATTGTGTTGAGTCTGCAAAAGGAGCAGGGGAAATGTGGTAGCACGGATAGACCAACTTCTACCGAAAGATACCTGCAACAACAACCGACTTGACTTGTCAAATCGTGCGCGTAAAAGTTTTAGCCATGAAAAGTTTTCTGCAACTACCTGAAAGGTTGTCTTTTTTTGCAGTTTTATGCTATTTTTTTCTGTCGTTGTAAGCTACACTGACATCTGCTAAATTGTACTGGGAATATATAGGGATTAATCGCTATTCCTTACAAGGAAGTAACAAAAAAATTAGGTTGAAATTAGGAAGATTACAGCTCACAAAACATCTTAAGCAACAAAACTTATTATTTATATTTTTTGATAAGTTGTATAAGGTTTAATATTCAATATACTCTCAATACCCTGGAATAATGGCCTGCTGCAGCAACAAAGTTGTCTGTCATGAGCTGCATGTTCCACACGTGTCACGTGAGGCAAGGAAATAGAGCGGCATCCGGGGGCTTTTTACATGCTGCAGTCGAAGCAACCGGAGCGAGTTGTCAAAGGCAGTGCCATCAGTTCCGCTTCCGGCACGCCCCTCATCACACCTCCGGTTGCCCCTTGGCCAACCCACGAAGAGACAAATTGAATTCGTTGGAATTGTTGCAAGTCTGCGGCATACGAAATGCGGACAGGCACGGCTTCCACTGCGGCACTGCGGCGATTTTGTTTGGGGTCCTTTCTGCTGATGCTGGAAATCGCTTGATTTGCATTTCCTACCAAGAAGAGTCTGTTCCCACGTTTGCTCGACCAGCCAGCCATCAGACGTTGAAAATCACGCTAATTATCGGCACTGAAAACAGAGGAAAATGTGAATTGGAGTTGAAAAAGAAGTATTTTAAATTTAAGCAGTATTTTTAATTATCACAAATTCGAACTCACAGGAACTTTATTAAAGTCCTCCAAAAAACCCTTATTCTGAGCCTTATACAATGATTTATCAATCCTTAAATAAGCAACAAAAATCTGGATT